TTAAAATATTTAACTTATTTAATTAAAACTAATAACTAATTATTGTTTATAAAAAAATTAAAATAAACACGCCATTAACTTGCTGAGCCTGGGTTTAATAATTAATACTGAGTCTCATTCTCAATATTTGGCACGGCGCACTGTTATTTGGTACGAAATTTTGGGACAAATTCTACCAAAAAAAAGAAATTTTGGGACAAAAATATTGGCAAAAATCCATGCCTAGCCCTCCACTTTACTGACCATAAAAATGTCAGCTTTTCAATTTACAATATAAAACAACTTACAATATAAAGCTTTAATCCCTCATCTTTTTTATCTAAATGAAAAAATCCAAAATGAATAGCAACTTCATGTGCTTACTGAAATTTCGTTATTCATTGCCATGTCAGTACCAATGTGGCAATTTCTTACCATCATGAATTACCACCATGGACAATAAAAGTTAGACTTGGCAAACAAGTGAATCAAATCGATTTGAATTAGGTCACCTCAAGCTTAGTTTGACAATATTGCTCAATACTACCCTACAGCTGTAGCTGTTAAAAGTGTTGTATTATACTACCACGAAAAGTATTTTAATGTTTGATAATTATATTTCAAAACAACTATCTATTACAAAATTACTCAATTAAACACATTATAATTTAAAATTAAATTAATTAATAATTTAATATATAATGCACGAAAAAGGATTTGGGAATTTTATTAAATTATTTAGGAATTTTATTAATTTTGGATAAGATGACTTTTGTATACCTTTTTTAAAAAGTAGAGATGAATAATTTATCAAAGGCATAAATTACAAAAAGTTATGTGAAAAATACTGTAAGCAGTGTTATCAAACTTCACCTTAGATTTCACATCTATTATGTTTAGTCATTTTAGATTTCAAGTTAAAGGAGTAGACTCATGACCTACCTACATAGATCTCGAATCGAATCAAGTAGACTCAACTTTTAAAAAAATTAAAATTAGAATTGAAAATTTTTAATATTTTCTCTATTTTTCTTTTAAAAAATTAATATTAATTAATTATTTAGTTGAAAAAATCTTTTAAATTAACATTAACACTAATAATCTAATAAATAACAATCATTTTATAGTATTTAATTTTATTTTATACTTAAAAATTAAAATTAAAAATATAATTAATCAAAATTTTAAATTTAAAAAATTAATTAATTTTACTCAAATTACTTTAGGTTGATTCGATTTGACTTTGACCCAACCTAATTGAGTTTGGGTAATTTTAGTAAAGGTTATATTTGATTTTAAATTGATATCTTAGATCCATGACTCTACTTATAGTAAATGAATTAGGTTAAATTTTCAAATTTGATCTAATTTTATTAGGGCTAATAAAAGTAGAAAACTATGTCTCACACATGACAATGGAAAGGATTTGCCATGGTCACCGTTCATAATGGGTAACAAAATTTTATTGTCCATGGTAACAGTCCATAACAATAAGGAATTGTTACATTGGTGCTAATGGCAATGAGTAATAGTATTTTAACAAGTATATAATACTATCATTCATTTTGAGATTTTTCATTTAGGTCAAAAAGATAAAAGAGTAAAACTATTTTTTTTATGACAAAAAAAAAATATAGAGTTAAGTTAGTATTTGTTTAAGAAAAATCGAATTTAAAATTTGACTTGACGGACCAAAATGCATTTCACCTATTTCTCACTTTAAAAAATTGTGGTCGTTAGCAACAACATGGGAACTATAGATAAAAGGGTAAAACTCTTATATCATAAGTTGTGAGACCGACACTTCCATGGTCATGCGAAGGGCTGGCCATGATTTC